ATGAAGTACGATGATGTTGTCGTACATGTCCTACAAATGTACAAAGCTTCAAAAGATGCCTTCTACATTGGGGAGAAGAAGATGAACATACACGACAACGACAACGACATCAAGTTGATTTTTGGTGTGGACTGTGGCATGAAGCCGATGGACATATCATATGGTATGAAACCAAAAACTGGCATTATAAACAAAAGGTGCAAAAATGACAACCGGTTGACTTCAAAATGGATGCGCACCCTTTTGACCGAGGCATTGAAAGGCAAAAAGAAAGATGACAACGAAGAAGTCGTCCGACTAGTCTGCATATATGCTTGCCAAAAACTTTTTTTCTCAACAAGCGATGAGACAATAGGATGGGGCTACTACGCACATATAGTCCCATTGGAAAGCATGTAAGAATATGATTGGGCTAAGCAAATAAGAACAATGTTGACATCCTCCATTTCCCAAAACGACAAAAAGCCGGCAAAATCACCGGCTGTGTCATGTTATTGATGGTAAGTAACCATGTCGTCAAATAATAACATTAACATACCCTTCAGTGTAGTTCATCTAAGCCAACTGTGAACATTCACATCTGTACCACTGATATGAATGTTCACATCTGTACCACTGATGTGAATGTTCATATTCACATCATGATATAATACTGTGAATGTTCACAACAGTGCCACTGTTATTAATGTTCACATCTGTTGACATGACTATGGAAATACTAAATAACATATGTCTTTGTTGTTTTACTGAAGTATTGGTTATGTGAACACACAACCATCCTACAACCTCACAAGCCCAATGCCTTTCTTCGTTGTGTTAAGTGGGATCTGACTACTTTACAAAAGAAGATGAAAAACACCTCTTTGGCTGATATTGGTTTTAATGAGGTAGGGCCTTCAACTATTGATCAAAACATTCACATTATAACACCACCCAAATATTTACGTTAAGTAACATAATTTTTTCATTTCAAGTTAATGCCGGCAAACTCTTTGCAACACCAACAGAATTAAAAAAGTTCAGGCGTACAACATTGAAGGTGGAGCCCGGAATTTATAAACCAGCCACAAAATCTCCTAACCTATCTGACATCAAGGAAGAACAACACAATGGCAGCAACTCCCAATTTTTTGGGTATGGAGTTGAGCTAAAGGATAGTAATGAGGACATTCACATTCCGTTTACCAGCCCACATGATGAGAGAGCTAATGTCATAGAAAACACAAAACAATATTTCATTGATGTGCTTATCAAAGAAAACCGGAAGGCTTGGGGCGTTATAAGGCAATGGGAAGCAAAGTACAAACACCTTCAATTCTCATGAGAGTTACGGGCAAGAGTCATAGCTGATCTTGAACATAAATTGTTCAACTAGTCAAGCCCACCCAACATGAATACCGAAATAAAAAAGTGTATGGAGCAAAAGGATGAAGAAATTAAGCGCTTAACGCAGCTAGTCATCAACTTAGAATGCAAGAAAACAATTCTTCAGGACCTTTATGATGACCAGTCAGTCCACAGTGTCACACAGGCTGAAGCACAGAAGCAACCCCCTAGCCTAATGCAACACAATCTCAGCCTGCCTTCTAGGGTGAAGCGTATAAAGGAAAAAGATCAAAAAGAACATCGCTTGCCTGACTTCCAGTACCCAAACTTACCTAGCCAAAAACAGCCCCATACAGTCGAAATGGTTGAAGATGTAGACAAACACCCACCAGCGAAGCACCCAAAAAAATTAACCTTGACCAACAAATTCAAAGTCTAGAGTAAGATGTCTAAACAAGACAAGCAAAAGGTCCAGGCTTTACAAAAGAGTGGAAGCGATGAGTAAGTGACTGTACAAACACTTAATGTCAACATTCACATTCCATAATTGTCAATATTCACCACTGTGCTTATTTATTTGATTTGTTTAAAACTGTGCAATGTTAATATTCACATTGGTTTGTTTAAAATGCACAGGCTGATTGTGTGGAAAGGAGACTCAAAAGCTACACATGTGTATTTTGATGACATTGTCAACCTTATCAAGGAGGAATCGATACACAACAATATATGCCATTATGAAGATGATTCACTCTTTATGCATATATGCATAGAGACACAGACACACACCTACAGCCACAGACACCCATTGTTCACCCACCGCAAATAATATAATATGACCCTATGCTTGTGCAGCTCATAGATGCATATGTCAAACTATTACATGAACAACAGGAGGTGGTCAACCTAACTTCAGATGAAGCATCATTCATCTTCACGAGCATGTGTTTGGTAAAATCTATCATTCCATTTTTTGTAATGTGAATGTGAAATTTCACAGACCATTAATTATTTGTCCATTGTGTATAGAAAGTGATACAAGAGTACCATCCTCGCAAAAGGAGTAAACACATTGATGCACATGTCAAAAACTACCAAGGAGAGAGATACCTACTATTCCCATTGCACTATGACTTTCACTGGACAATAGTTGTGTATGATGCTAAAGATAATTTGTGGAGGCATTACAACTCATTGCGCTCAAGGACAGACATACATGACCTGCATATCGACCGAGCACAGGAAGTTATAAGTGGCTCTTTTTGTACACAAATATGACTTGTTGTCATGCGTTAAATGAATGTACATACACATATATGTTTGTTAGTGCCTAATTTGAAATTCCCTACATAGAGGAAGTACATCGAGCATGTTGTGTACGTTATTGGCGAGTCATCACCGCTATGCACTAAGTTAGCAGGCCAATACCCGTCACAACCATTCATATCAGTTGATGTCTGTCTTCAGTAAGGCGACGACTCGTAAGCCTCACTACATTTTTCACAAATCCTTCATAACCATTATGCAAACATACATGTCAACTGCTAATCAAAACCATTTTGCATTTACAGAGTGGATTGCAGGCCTGCAGTATGTTACATCATGGGGGCGCACATATACCATGAAGAAATCATGGGCAGCCTCACTAGTTCTGAATGGTGTGGACTACGAGATTTGTTAGTACATAGTTTTTTGAATCAAAAGAATCATAGTGTTATTAAAACCTATAAGTGGGGGGGTCCACCTACAAACTAACCAACACTCGATATGAATGTTAATATCAATTGCTTTGCCATTTTGACATAACAACTGATTGTAAAACAGTGATACAACATCTATTAATGGGAAAAAGTCAGCTGTGAATTTTGATCTACCTTTGGTGTTGTTATGTTTTACAGGTGTGAATGTTCATAGTTGCATCACTGATGTGAATGTTTATATTCACTTATGATATTCATACTGATGTGTTGTTATGAGTGTAATTTATGCGATTATTTGAACCCGATTGTTCTATAATACACATATTTTGTGCAGAAATGTACATTTTGTCTATATGACATCATTATGGATAATATACACATGTGTGAATATTCACATTTGTTCTTACTTGTGAATGTTATTCTTCTCTGCGAAATGTGAACATTCACGTATGATATTCATAGTCACTAATGTTTTACAGATGTAAATGTTCACAATTGCAACACTGATGTGAATGTTCAAATTCACTTATGATATTCATACTGTTGTGTAGTTATGAGTGAAATTTATGCGATTGTTTAAACCCGATTGTTCTATAACACACATATTTTGTGCAAGAATGTACACTTTGTCTAGATGACATCATTACGGATAACATACACATATGTGAATATTCATATTTGTTCTTACTCATAACAGTTGTAAATGTTATTCTTCTCTGCCAAATGTGAACATTCACTTATGATATTCATATGCACTAATGTTTTACAAATGTGTATATTCACAGTTGCACCACTGATGCGAATGTTCATATTCACTTATGATATTCATACTGCTGCGTTGTGATGAGCATAATTTATGTGATTTTTTTAACCCAATTTTTCTGTAATACACATGTTTTGTGTAGGAATGTACACAGTGTCTGCATGACATCATTACGGATAACATACACGTGTGAATATTCACATTTGTTCTTATTCGTAACAGTTGTGAATGTTCACACCATGACAATCTCTATGCATGTGGAAGTTCACATCACAGTTAATATTTATGTCAACATTGACAACAATAATGTAAAAAAGTTAAGCCCATATGCGACTTTTCATATAATATGATTCTTTTACGAAAGTGTGAATGTACACATCATGTATTCATCATTAAAGCTTTAACAAAATATCAGTTTCGTACCCAAGAAGAAAAAGAAAAAACACAAATCAAATACTAAGTTTGCCAAACCATTATTTTGCTAGCCAACACAACGTTATCTTATTGCAATACAATGTTTGCCAACACAACAAAATCTTATTTGAAAAATCAATATAAGAATCCAATGTAAAACACAATGTTGAATTGAAAAATGTGCATCCTATATCGGCTCATTGCATGATTTCCGATTATGACTTCCTAACTTATCACATCTCCCGCACCTTATTTGCTTCAGTTTCTCACCCCTTGAGGGGATTCTATTCTTTTTCGGCCTTCTAGGTGGTCTTTTCACAGTTGGCAGGTATATAGTAAAGTCTGTGGGATCAAAAGACGGCTTTTCCACCGATAGTATAGAGAATATGGCACCCGAATAGGCTATACGATATGTCTCTACATGAAAGTAATGTTCCACATAATCATTGAGATTGTAGCAGCTCTTCTGAATAGCAATCACAGCATGGTCACATGGGAAACCGTTGATTAGCCATTTGAAGCAAGAACATGTACGCCTGGCAATATCAACTGTAACAGATGGCATCGAATGAACTTCAAACACATCCTTATTGGCTTTGCTAACTTGCCAAAACATGCTGTCATTAAACGAATCCATAAGCATTGTTTCGAATGTAGGACAAATAAGCTCATTCTATTTGTTTGCTTGGTCACACCATGCAGACATTTGCCACGCAGACATTTGCCGCATCAACTGCGTACGAATTGTGTCCACTATTAGAGTGATAGGAAGATTGCGTGCTTATTTAATCCAATTATTAAATGACTTTGCCGCATTGGATGTCATCTCCCCATAACGCATGCCCCTGCACAACATCACAAAACATTGTACAATACGAAATTTAATTTCTTCGAAATTGAATATGAAATTTCACATTGCCACAAAACATAACTGAAAATTCACATCGCTACGATTCTAAACTTGACAAATGGAATACATTAGGAAACTACTATTACCTGAAGTATGAATTTACCCAGTGCTGAGGTGCCAAGTCCTTAAAAAAAATTATGTGCTCGTTGCTTAGCCTCCTCTTTTAATTTCGCAAGCTTTTCATGGAATCTTACCACAGTTGGCTCGTAAGCACAGTCATCCAAACAACTAACTAGGTGATCCCTAAATCCATTATCAACTCCTTTCATCCGGTCTCTTAAATTGCTCTTCAAGTGTTGTAAGCAATAACCGTGGTGAGCGGATGGGAACACCTTTGGCATAGCTTCTAACAGACCAAGATTACGATCCGAAATAAAAGTAATTTGGCGCTTAGCATCGACAACCTTCCCAAGTTCATGCAAGAACCACGACCAATTGGTCGTGGTCTCTGAATCAACAATCGTAAATGCAACAGGAAATAAACCTACAACACAACACCATTTAACAACTGTTCACAATATTCCAAAGTGAATAGAAAACAATATGAAGGAAACAGGTCATGTGGATGTTTATATCTACATTGCCCTGTTACTATTGTTGTTTTTGGATTTGGGTTCGTAAACATCAATGATGTGAACATTCACAGTAATGTCCATTAATGGATAAACTCACATTAGTTGACACTAATGTAAGCATTCATATCAATGTGTACTAATGTGAATGTTCACAGTACTATTAATTTCTCAATCACTCATATTATGTTGTTGTTCACATCAATTGGTATTGATGTAAACATTGACACCAGTGTAAATGTACAACACACTGTGTAACCGTCTATCATATGTCCACACTATGCCAATCAATGTAAATATTTATACGAATAGTGTGACAACCCTCACCACTATTTACTAATTAACCACTGATTACTGTTAAACTGAGACTGATTATGATAATCGACTGAATTGACTAAAATCTGGAACTGATTGATTGTCTGTATCTATTTAAGTGCATCTTTATCTGTTCGACTGTTAAACTATCTGTTCATGTTTTATGTTTTAAACTGCAAATTGAAGGCCTTATCGGCGGCCGAATCTGAAATTGATTAGTGATATGTGTTAATCATAATTTATGTGATTTTATGGCATATTTATTTGAGATGTGATTTGGTATGATTAAATAGATTAAAATAAGTTAAATTACACAAGTTGCATTATTTGCTCTTTTGCCACTTAGTGGTTTAATCTAGGACCCTTTTGTTGATTCATTTATGTTAGCATTAGACTTTCCTTCAGCCTTTTCTTTTCCTAGAGCAATCGACTAGAGTGAGAGAGTGAGAGGGATAACTTGATTTCATTGGAGAATTAGAAGTTTTGAAGGTTTATTTGCATAATTGAGCCTCTACACTTGTAATCCAAGACCTGAGGTAGGATAATTACCTTCTTATTTATGAATTCTAGTCTTATGTTGCATGGTTCATGGAAGTTAGAGATTGAAGTCAAGTATTAGCTTAAATTGTTGAATTGAAGCTTGTATCATGCATGCATGTACATATTGTGAAGTTTTAAGGTTGTTTCCATAGAAAATCTTACATGCATGTTTATATTTTGGTTCTAATCCATGAATTCATCTTGATTTTGTAGGAATTGGCTCTTTGGAGCTAGTATTTGAAGCCTTGGAGTTGTTTAAATCCATGCATGTTACATTTAAAGTATGTTCTTGAAATTTGGTTTGAATTGTGTTTAATTGAACTACCTTTGGGTTTTGACTTCTCAAATTGATCTTTGAAATATGTTATATTATAAGTTTTGAAGTGTTTTCAAGAAAATTATCCCAAAAGGATCGAATTTGGTACATTAAAACTTGTTTTTGAACTTAAGGTTCAAATCTGGAAATTCCAGATTTTGGACTCAAGCTCAAGCGGAGTGACTGGCGCTCGAGCGTGAAATTCGTGCATCCAGCACTTTACACTGTTATACAGTCTGCTCAAGCGTGGTATTGGACGCTCGAACGAGGACTTGTGTCACACGCTCGGGCAGGTATCGAGGGCCCAAATCGAGCGTGATTTTCACACATCCAGTATTTTTGACATGTTTTACAGTCCGCTCGAGCGAGGTAACTCGCGCTCGAGCAAAGTATTTTGTTTGCCTGTACGCTCAAGCGGGGAAAATCACGCTCGAGCGAGACCTCTGTTTTCTGAAAATTCTGAAAATATTTTTAAAGTGTATCTTTGCATTCTCATTCCATCCTAGGCATTCTTAGGCCTAGTTTCAGGCATCTTAATGAGGATATTGATGTAGAACCACACTGAGGCAAACTAGGGATTAAGTTATTATTTTTTCCAACTATGTAGTTTAGTGTGTGTTCACTCTGTAACTGTGTAGGGTTGGCATCCGAGGACGCGTACTAGCTTATCTGTAGCCCAGAACTCTGTGAGTAATAATGTTGTAAAGATATATTCGAAAATGAATATTTTCTGAATGATCAACTGAACTGTTTTCTGAACTGTTTACTGTTAACTGAATGAATGTTTGTCCCCTATTCTGAACTATATTGTGGCATCCTTAACAACTACTGTTACTGTTACTGCTACTGTTACAGAGATCTCTGTCAATTCCTATCTTGGAACTTCTGTTTACTGTTACGATGGCCATCATTGATTGTTTGATCTTTCAAGACCTACTGTTTACTGTACTGTTCTGCTATTGGATTTACCACATATGACTGTTATGACTGAATGACTAATATACTGAATCAATCGACTGTTTTCTATACTGAAAAGACATTCATTCTTAACCTCTTTACGCATTATGTTATTCACTGGCTTTAGCTTACTGCTCATATTTATATGTAGGTGTTCAGGCACCAGACCGGAGGTAAGAGCGTGGGTTAAACTCCCTTTTGTCAAAGCCAACCACTGTGCCTCACTGCGAGGTTCCGAGCCTGTCAAGCTAGGACTTTTGGGGTGTTTTAGTTTTCTCCCATTTTGTTTATGTTCTGTATAGACTGAATGTTTTTGTACTGTATTGTCTTAATAGGGATTAAGTCCCTGATCTGGATGATTGTATATATTGTACATACTGTTTTGGTACTGATTGTATATGTGTATATGATATGAAAAGTCTTTTTGCATACAGACTGTCACAGCTCATTGGACATATTTTAATTACTGTTTTGGTTTCCGCCAGCCCCTGTACTCTGTATTACTGTATTACTGTTAAGCACGCCTTCAGTAATCTTGGATTACTGGCCGATTACGGTACTAAACCCATAGGGGCAGGTTTGGGTCGTGATAAATAGACAGCTAAAAAAAATACTAACCATTGTTTTCATCTTTCGCCGTTGCCGTAAGTAGCTGACCTTTGTACTTTCCTTTAAGGAATGCTCTATCTAGGAATAATAAAGGTCGACAAGAATTGAAGCCAGACATACACGCAGCGAATGATACAAAGAAACGACAAAACTGTTGATTACTCGTATCATAGTCAATATTGACATAACTCCCCGAATTGTAACGCATCACAGCATCCGAATGCCACTGCAACTGGTTAAATGATAATGAGTGATCTCCATGAATAACAGCCTTCGCTTTCTCCACGTCCAACCATACCACGTGGTAACTCATATCTAGCCCATAATCCCTCTTCAAAATAGTCACCACCTCACACGGCCGAGTCAATGGCTTGTCCCTCATAATTTCAGATATGTTACTCGACACCAAATCCGAACTAACTCGCGGATTCTTCGATGTTCGGACATCCGTACCACAACTATGCACATCAGTAAAACTCTTGATGTAGAAAAAAACATTTGCTCATTGTGCTCTACAATGTATAGCCCACAAACAGCCTCTGTCCTCACGCATTGCACACACAGAAGTAACCCTTGTCCTCTCATTCTTGACATACGTAAACTGAAACCCACATTGGATGGCATACTTACATAAAACATCACGAAATTCTTGTGCACCTCCAACAAACCATTGTCCCACATACGTAATACTATTTGCCCAAGGGGCTGACAACAACACCTTCTCTTTATGGTGGCAAAATCTCCGTAATGCATCAATTTCTTCCTCACCCTCCACACGCAGCGACACAGAACTACTCGACTGACCAATATCACTTTTCAACTCAACGACAACTTCTACATGTTGTACCCCTATTGATTTAGCAAGCAATAACATGTTCTGAAATTCTTTCTCATTGTCCAAATCACACATATTAATCCTAGGTAGCCGACAGAACAATGAAATAGAACCGGCAGACAACTCAACCCATTTTTCACACAAGCACTCCACCAAACGCGAATAACACAATGCGCGGGCAACATTTATTACAGTTGTACTGCAACCATATGTATACACCAACATCATAAAGGCATCCATCTCCTGTAAAAATACAACAATACAACAATCAACAGTAATCCAAAATGATATGAAAATTCACATTGTGCAAAATTAGATGCCTATGTGTACAGTGCAAGTGCTAAATCCATAATGAAAATTATCACCACTATCTTTACACAACATAAAACATTTAACAATTTCAAAATGACACCACCACATTAAGGTGACAATACACAACATGCAAGCAACCCTCCATAACTTCACATTAACAAGATGTGAACATTCACATTGATACATATATTCTGAATTATATCACCTACACAGAGCCTTATTGAGCAAGCATCAAAGTAAAATAAGAAGATTCACATTCTTCACATAATATTAACAAGATGTGCACATTCACATTGATACATATACTCTGAATTATATCACCCACACAGAGCCTCATTACCCAAACATCAAAGTAAAATAAGAACATTCACATTCTTCACATAATATTAATTAACAAAATGTGCACATTCACATTGATACATATACTCTGAATTATATCACCCACACAGAGCCTCATTATGCAAACATCAAGGTAAAAATGAGAACATCCACATTCTTCACATAATATTAACAAGATGTGCACATTCACATTGATACATGTACTTTGAATTATATCACCCACACATAACCTCATTACACAAACATCAAAGTAAAATGACAACATCCACATTCTTCACATAATCTAAATGATCTCCCCTCCATAGGACCACGTAAAATGCATATAATTGAACAAACAGAGCATCCGATCCATATCAATCAAAAAATAGAGAATCCGATCCATATCATAAAAAAACAGAACATCTGATCCATCATACAAATCAAAACATAAACTGAACATGTATTCATGATAAAAAATATACTAACCTAATCAGGCAAACCTATAATTGTCCTGTAACTCGAAAACAACTTATTTGAACTAGTTATACTCCAGAAAATGTAAAAACCGAACACCGTTCAATTCGTCGTCTTCACTCGAAAATCACCGAACCATACTACAACAGCAACAATGAAACCCAAGCACTTGAAAGCCTTCGAACGAGCATGATGATTGAAACGTATCCATCTGAATTAGAATGATGATAAAGATAGAAACTACCAAAACTAAATCAACGAAAAAAATGGCAACGTGTTATGTGTATTAACACAATATATATATGTATATATATATATATAAGGGCATAATAGTCCAGGTATAAATATAAAATTAGTAAAATGGATCTTATGGAATAAAAAGAAAAGTATATGGGACTAATCAGGTTATAATATTTTTTTTGTGGACCTAATAGGTTATAACAACTCCAAAAATGATTTATCAATAAAAATCCCAACAACACACTCAAACTAAGAGGTAGAATTAATTTTCCTATTTCAATGTATTTTCATTTTTTTTGTATTTATTAAAATTTAAAAAAAAAATCACAAATTTTTTTTAAAGTAAATCTATGCATTTAACAAATAAAAAAATTTGATCAAAATATTAAAAAAATAAAGATAAAAAAATAGTACAAATTTAAAATTTAAAAATTATTTTTGAAAAGTCAAAATTAACCAACCATCTAAGAGCATCTCCAACCATTGTTGCTATAATGCTATTGTTATTACTATAATTTGGCAATAAATAATGCTATTTTGCCAAATTATAGCAATGGTGCTCCAATGGTCATTTGTTATTTTGGCAAATCTCAACCAACTTTGCTTCCAAGTTTGTAGGTATTGTTTGGATATAGTTTTTTTGTGATTTTATTTTTATTTATTTTTTGTCTTTTGTGACATTTTTTTACCTGTTTGTAAAAAATAATTATATATTTATATTATTCCCAACTAGACAAATATAAAAAATAAAAAAAAAATGAAAAATAGGAAAAAAAAATTAAATCAAACAAAGCACAACAGCTTTTTTTATACCGAATGAGAGCATCTCCAAAGTCCACGTATAAAACTTCAATGGTTGATATGCACCGTTTAGAATCATCCACCATCCCTCTCTCTCTCTCTCACTCTATCTTCCCAATTTCTCTATTTTCACTATTCCTCTCCCTCTCTCTGTCTTCCTTCTCCTCAAACCAGTCATTTCTCCTCCTCCATGATTGAAATGTCTCTCTCTCTCTCTCTCTATGAAGTTGTTTTCACTCTCTCTCTCACTCTCTTCCATCATCCAAACGTCTTTCTCTGTCTATGTCTCTGTGATTGAGCTCAAGTCTTCAACGATCTGTCTACTCTCTGATCTCTCTCTCTCTCTCTCTCTCTCTCTCTCTCTCGCTCTGTCCTTGGTTTCAAGTCTTCACCTTCACACAATCGCCCCTTATTTTCTCTCTTTCTCTGGTACGATCTCCATCTATATACATATTCATATATATATATATATATACTTTGATTTTTTCTTTATTTTTCTAGTTATTGATGTGGATCTGAGGTGATCGCGATTTTTGAAACTCAAATCTGGCGATGGATTCAAATTGGATCTTCAAAGAACTCAAGTATCTCCAGAAGGATCTTCAAAGAACACAATTTGGTATGTTAGCTAAAATTTTCTTAATTATTTATTTTGATTTTTGGTTTAATTTTTATTCATCCATCTATTTTATTTTGATTTTCAAAGAACTGAAGCCAATTTGGATTTGGTTTATTGTGATAATATTCAAATTGGTTTGGTTTATTGTGAATGCATATGATCTTCAAAGAACTGAAAAAAATTATATGGTATGATCCAAATCCAAATCATATGATCTTCATTTGATCTTGGTTTGGTTTGGTTTGGTTTATTGTGAATGCATACCATATGATTTGGATCGACTGATTTGGTGATCAATGATCAAAAAATAAAAATAAAAAATGAAGAGAAACCGAATTTGGGTTTGTCAAATTCATTCTGAAATTTGTTAATTTGGCAACAAAATAGAAAATTTGGTTTGATTATGAAAATTGGGTTTTAATTGTTTCAATTCTATTTTTTTGAACTAAATTTGGTGCAAAAAATTTGTTGATGTTTGCTGATCTAGCAAGTTTGGGAGCTGCTATTTAACTTGTCAAATTTGAGAACAGATATGGCATCTGCTATCTTTGGCAAGCAGAATAACAGCCCATCGGAGATCCTCTTTTTGCCATTCTTGTCAAATTTTAGCTTTGGTAGGCTGAATAGCAGCTCCATTGGAGATGCTCTAACTGTTTATTAGCTTATTTACTACAAAGGCCTTTTTTAGGAGATGAGTAAAAAACTACTTCGCATTTTTTAACCCATTTTCTCTTTCACGAAACAAAGTCAAAAAGTCAAAAAAATAATTTTAACTAACTTTCCAAAACATCCTAAATTATCATATTATGTTTAACTTTTTTTATATATTTTTTTGTAATAATTTAAAAAATCAGTATACAAAAAATAACCAATTTATTTAAATTGCATTACTTCTATAATTTTTTTACACTTTTTTTTGTAATATAAGTAAAAAAAATTTAAAAAAATGATACGCAAACTATCCCAAAGACTTGCTTCTGTGACTATTTTAAGTAGGGAAAAAATTATTTTTTTAATATTTTAACTATCCCTACTTAAAATATTAAGGCTTCGTTTGGTAAGAGCTAAATGAGATTTTTTTGGCTATTTTAATCATAAAAGACAAAATAAGTTATTTTAGTCACAAAAAATAAAATATCACATCCAACCCATAATCATTACATTCTTCTCTAAAAAAAAGTTAAAAAAGCCAAAAAGCCAAAAAGTTCTTCCCAAATCAAACTTTTTAGCCCAGACTAAAATAGTTAAAAAAGCTAAAAAGCTAACCCACTTCTCAAACGGAGGCTAAGTAAGGAAAAAAAAAAAAAGGTTAATAAATCAAATAAATTGATTTTTGTTTTTCCAGTGGCCAAAATAGGCCATAAGATAATTAAAAATTCAAATTGCAAAAGAGAGAAAGAGATTCTGATACTACTAGTACTTGGCCAATAGATTCACTCTCACGGCTTCCCCAAACCCGCCGTGGTTTACACTTTTCTCCCTCTCTCTCTCTCCCCTTCATCAGACGCACCTCACCAACCCCTTTTTATAACCAAACTCTCTCCCCCCACCTCACCTCACCTCACCTCACCTTCTCTCTCTCTCTCTCTCTCTCTCTCTCTCTCTGTAAACCCAAATGACTGAGCTCAAATTGATGGGCTCTACATCAACTAGAAGGCCTTATTTCATCGAAGACGACGATGGTCTTGCTTCTCTTGCAGACATGGAGGCTGGTTTCTCGGGAAACAATCACCACCATCACCACAACCACCCTTTCTTTTCCAGGCCTCTCTGTTACGCAGGCTCGCACAGAAGAGGAAGCATGAGAAGCCTATCATCCTTCTCTGGGTCTCCTAGATCTGGAAGGTTCTATGATGGTGGAAGATTCGAGGAATATCAACCCCATTTCTTACACGCTTGCTTTCTTTGCAAAAAACCCCTCGGTGATAACAAAGACATTTTTATGTACAGGTTTGTCCCTTCTCTCTCTCTCTCTCTCTCTCTCTCATCTTCTCATCAATCTGTTCCTGAATTTGAGAGCCTAGTTTTATTTTGTCCTGTTTTCACGGGAATGGCGAATTTTCCCGGAAAGTTTTGCTTATTGTTCAAGCTTTTCTTTCCTTTTTTTCAATCTATTAGGTGATTTTGATGCAAAAAGTATGACTTGCACCAATTGGGTTTTTCTTAGAGTAACCAAAGTGCAGGCCAGAAATGGAAATGAACGAAATTTCGTTTTTATTTTCCTTTTCCTTTTCCGTTCACTTTGTTTGGTTACTGAGAAAACTGAAGAGCGTGAAATAGTAATATAAATTGGAATCGTTCTGTTTGGTTATTTTAGCCTCCGAAAATTGAGATCTGGTCTACGTAAAAAATGATTGGACTCGGGAGAGTAAAAGGCTTTCGGGTTCCAGAACCAAATATAGGAAATTTTCAGATTCAAAATATTAATTTGTTCACTTTATTTTTCTTAGCAACCAAACAGGACATTTTAAGATTCGAAATATTAATTTGCAAGTGCAGACCATAAAAATGAACGAAATTTCGTTTATATTTTCCTTTTCCTGTTTGGTTGCTAAGAAAACTGAGGATCATAAAATAGTCATATAAATTACAATCGTTTTTTTTTTTTATCATTTTAGCTTACGAAAATTGAGATCTTGTCTGTCTACGTTAAAAATTATTGGATTCAGGAGATTTCAAGGCCTTTTGGGTTTCAAATACAGGACGCAGACCATAAAAATGAACGAAATTTCGTTTATATTTTCCTTTTCCTGTTTGGTTGCTAAGAAAACTGAGGATCATAAAATAGTCATATAAATTACAATCGTTTTTTTTTTTTTAAAATCATTTTAGCTTCCGAAAATTGAGATCTTGTCTGTCTACGTTAAAAATTATTGGATTCAGGAGATTTCAAGGCCTTTTGGGTTTCAAATACAGGACATTCTAATATTCAAAGTACTGGTTTTTTTCCACTTTCCCTTCATTTTTCTTAGCAACCAAAGGACATTATTGTATATTGATTTAGTACTGATTGTTAGATTTATGTGGTGTTGATTTTATGCAGAGGGGACACACCATTCTGTAGTGAAGAGTGCAGACAAGAACAGATAGAGATAGATGAAACAAAAGAGAAGAAATCGAATGTCTCTGATTCCATGAAAGCTTTGAGAAAGGATCAGAAGAGGAAATCCAAATCCGCCTCTCCAAACAAAGCCCGAGACTATCCTTTCCGTACAGGCACTGTGGCAGCTGCTTAATCAATCTTCCATCACCACCACCCCAAGAAAAGAAAGAAAAGAAAAGGAAAGGAAAGGAAAGGAAAGGGAAGGAAAATCAATGGATTCTGTTTAATATTATTATTAGGAGAGCCCATTAGAGAGGAGGAGAAGAAGAAGACCCATTTTCAGTTTTTTTTTTTTTAATTTTTTTTAACAGAAGTAATATATAAAATGTAAAAGCTTATATGAGGGCATGTTTTTTGTTGCCATTTGTGTTGGGTATGATCTCTCTCTGTAATGGCTTTTTTTGGTGGTGTGTTGAAGTCTCTGTGGTTTCTTTATTTGGGTGTTTTGATCATATGCTAATGTAAAAAGGCTTAATACAAAGGAATTCTCTATAAATTATATTGAGTCCCTTTTTAACTCGTGGAGTTTTCAGAAATTACAATTTATTTATGTTTAATTCAGTTTTTAGGATTTATTTAAGTTGAGCAGAGTTTGAGATGATTTAAATAAATGTATTTTTTATTTTTTTATAAAAAAATAGAGAAGTGATGTGATGAAAAAAAAGATAAAAAGATAAATTATTTTGTGTATGTCATACTTGGACTTAGTAAAGTCTTATATAAGTAAGTGCTGTTTGTTTTCAAGTGAGGAGATTAATAGTGGGGGAATTGTTAGTGAGGGGATTAAATAAAATTGTATTTGTTTTGATGATAGTTGTTAACATAAGAATTGTTAAATTATTTTTATATAAAATAATAAAATAAATAAAAAATATACAAAATTAAACATTAATATTTTAAAAAAAATTCTCAATATATAAAAAATAAAAAAAATAAAATTTTTTTAATCCTCTCATTATTTTTTTAATATCATCTCTACTTCTTTCATCCCAATCTTCCTTTTAAGGCCTTTACTAGAGGTCCCCTCTCCCATCTTTCAAAACAAACACTCTATGTAATAGTTTTACCTCATTATCAATTACAATCCCCTCGTTATAACCCTAAACAAACGGAGTCTGAAAGTTGCCTGGTACAAAGGTGCTGTTTTGCTGTTTGTCGTAGATTAAAAGTTAATACATTAAAGACAGAAGTTAAATATTTGGATGGAATATCTATAAATAATTTTAAAATATAATTTTGTAAATTGTGAAGTTGTATTTTTATTTATCTATAATTTATTTATGAATTTAAAGGTCTTATTAAAGTGAAAAATACATAAAATAATAGTCACTTATAATTAGATTTAATTTTTTAGAAATAAAAGAGAGTTTTTTCAAATGTAAAATTACATATTTAGACAATCTGTATTATAGAGGTTTTAAATTTTTTCTTTTTCTAAAATAAATTCCACATTATAAAAAAAAAAATGTAACATTCCAATATAACACATTAAAAAACTTTTTAAGTGTTTTTTTTTTTTCAAACGTAGCATCGTAACACGCCAACTTCTTAGCGTATTTTTTTCAAACGTAACACTCTAATATGACACACAAATTTATTAGTGTATTTTTTTTTAAACATAACACTCAAATCCGAAAATGTAGCTTTCCAATATAATACATACAAAAATATTAAAAATTATCTAGTGTGCTTTTTCTAAACATAACACTCACAGTTTGAAATTACACATTTATCCAAAGTATATTAAGGATTTTTTTAAAAAATTTTTTAATCAAATTATACTCATTTTGGAATGGTTTGAAGAATCTCACATTTTTTTTAGATTGTTACTTTTGAAAAAAATATAATGAGGACTTTTTTTTAAATTTTTTTTTGTTACATTAGAGTGTTATATTAAAAAGTTTTTTTGGAATACTATATTTGAATGTTTTGTTTGGAAAAAATACGTTAAAAAGTTTTTTTTGAAGTATTACGTTTGAGTGTTACAGTTTGAAATTGTACATTTGCCAAAAGTTGCTAAATTTTTTTTGTATTTCTTTTGAAATATTTGAAAAATTCAACATCCTTTGGAAATGCTTGAAGAATTCCGAATTTGAAGTAATTTTTGAACTCCTTTTGAAATATTTTCTAAATTAAAAAAAAATCATATAAAAATTTATCCAAAATTTGATTCCCATGAATTTTTTATCTTTCCTTTTTAACACAAAAGATTAATATATATATATATATATATATATATGCAACAATGATAGAGACTCCCTTTTTGGAAAATCTCCACAACTCCCAAAGTGATCTACACCACTCATGATGTGGGCCCCACACATTATGAGTGGTGTGGATTACTTTGGAGGTTGTGGAGGTTCTCCAAAAAAGGAGTCTCACTCATTTTCCTATATATATGTAATAGAAATAAAGGTATAACAGTAAATTTAATTTTTAAATAATATATTAAATTTAATTTTCTAAAATCAATTAGGTTAATTGGTCTATAAAAAAATTATTGGGACTAAACGGATCACCATTTCTTAAAATGGAATGTATAAATAAATTTTCTTAAATATTTTCCATCTAGTTTATAGAAATAAACTTTTTTTTTCAGTTTATTTAAATTTTTTATACCTAAAGATATAAATAGAAGCTATACTAAATAGTTTGACAGCTCAAATAAATTATAGTAAATAATTTCAAAATTGCATAATAAAAATGAAAAAGTTACAAGTAGTTTTAATAAATTATATCAAATACGTCTTATTAAATATTAATGTGGCACCAATCATATTATAGAAATAGGTCATGTGTGAACTTTTTAAAATTCAACATGAATATGAAAAAAAAAATCACTTAAAAAATTTTAACATTTTCAACGGTGAATTGATTTTTGTTTTGAAACTGATGTGTGACTTTCTGGGCCATGGAATTGAAAGTCCAGGAAGGAATAGGAGAAAGGGAATTTCCTGGTAATGAGGAATTGGAGAAGGGCAATTTCCTGGTAATGAGGAGGCAAAAGTGGCCTCTCTCTCTCTCTCTCTCTCTCTCTAAGTGGTCCTAGAATGGAGAAGTTATTTGGTGATCTATGAGCATTGTTCCATCTTATTCATCTATGCAGTGTTTAATTGGGGAATTTAAAAATAAATTTAGAAATAAAAAAGGAAAAAAAAAAGATGAAATGTTAAAATATACTTATATTTCATATAATTTCACACATTTTTTTCTTTTAATTTTCAAATCCATTCTCAAATCTTCTAATAAAACACACTAAATACAAGTATTTAAGTGGTGTTATGAGAAGTTGGTAAAAAATTAATTTTCTGATTTTTTGATTTTTTTAGTGACTTTTTTGACAAAAAAACAAATTATTTTGGATAAAAAGAACTGACTTTTTTAACTAAAAAAAATTAAAAAATTAATTTTTTTTGACAACTCCCCAGAAGACCCCTGACTATCTCCTCACAGAGACAAAAAGGTCAAAAATCCTAGTGATTCAACTAATGATAATCAAATTAGAGCACTATACATCGCCCTACGAGCAAAGAATAATATGCTGTTTTGGATTTAGTTTTAAAATTGTGATTTTTTTTTTAAAGTTGTGTTTTAAATGTGGAATTGTGAGTTGAGTTTGAAAAAATAAAATTGGTTTAGTTATGAGTTTTGAAAGATATTTTTGAATTTTGAATTTTGAAAAAAGTAGATTGGGTTTACCTAGTCGTTTGCCCGAACGTCTGGCCGGTTGACAAGAACAGTGAATTTTAAATTTTAATTTTTTTTTTACATTTGCAACCATTTATTTGGAATTTTTTTTTAGATATTTTTTAAATATAGAAATTATTTTTTAAAGATTTTTTTATAAAAATAATTTAACAATCGCATCACTAACAATTTTCAACACTATATCATCAAAAAAAGTTTTGAATTGAGTTTGGTGTTAGTGTTATGTGTTTGGTTATGAGTTTTAAAATTAATTTTTGAATTGAGTTTGTATAATTTTAAGTTGTGTGTTTGATTATAAATTTTAGGATAAATTACAAATACACCCCTGAGATTTGCTTAAAATATAAATTTTCTCTTGTGATTTGAAAAATTACAAATGCCTCAATTCCATAATTTTTTATTTAACAAAATTAATTAAAAAAGTAAAATTTCTAACTATTCATCTATATAATAATAAAATTATTTAAATTATTAATTGAAATAAAATTTTAACATTATTAAAAACTGTTGATTAACTTGATGATTTATTAATAACAAGACATTTGTTGAAATTAGAAATTTTAGGAGATATAACGTAATTTCTAGAACTACAAAAGATAATCCTAAATTTTAAAAAATAATTTGAAAATTTTACCATTAAACTTATGATTATGCCTCCGTTTGGGAAGTGGGTTGGCTTTTTGGCTTTTTGGCTTTTTTAACTATTTTAGCGTGGGCTAAAAAGTTTGGTTTGGGAAGGGCTTTTTGGCTTTTTGGTTTTTTTGACTTTTTTTGTGAGAGAAGAATGTAATGATTATGGGTTGAATGTGATATTTTGTTTTTTGTGACTAAAATAGCCTATTTTATCTTTTGTAGCTAAAATAGTCAAAAAAAACCCCGTTTAGCTCTTGCCAAACGGAGCCTATAAAGGCGAACCAAACGGAGCCTACTTGTTCCCCTGTTACGAGGGAAGTGGGATTTGGGAAGGTGTATTTCTACTTTGGGAAAAAGGAAAAGTTCAAATATATCCTTCCGCTGAAATGGTCATGGAGTGTCACGGTCCCTCACCTTTGGACGCCGTTTATTTTCAGAGATATATTGAGGAGATGTATGTGAGGGATTTAAATAAAGTTATATTTATTTTAATAATAATTTTTAGTGTGCGGAGATTGTTAAATTATAGATTGTTAAATTATTTTTATATAAAATAATAAAATAAAATAAAAATATTAAATATTAATGTTAAAAAAAAATATCGAACATGTAAAAAATAAAAAATAAAACAAATAAAAAATGATTTTTACTTTACAAAAAATACAAAAAATTAAATATTGATGTTCAAGAAAAATACCCAACATGTAAAAAAAATAGTCCGACGGATTATTTTTTTAATACCACCTCCACCTCCACCTCCACCTCCACCTCCTCCATCTCAATCCCCCTTCGAAGGCCCAACTTAATCCGGACCTCTATCTCAACCCCTTCCCTAAATTTGCAAACAAAAGACAACATTAAATGCGTCTCACCTCTATCCTAACCTTATCTCTCCTCTATACCCCAAAATTTTATTTAATCCTTGAAATAAAATAAATATGAATTTTTAATTTATCAATTTAAATTTTTAATTTTTAATTTTTTGATCTTAATTATCTTTCTATTTTTGTTAAATAAAATTAACAAAAAATAACATTTTAATTGTTAAACTCAATAAAAAAATATATTTTAAATATTTGATATATACTTACATTGAGTTTAATGATTAAAATAACTTTTTTCAGTCAGTTTTACTTACAAAAATAAACTAATAGTTTAACTGAAAACAAATCAAAA